AAGAGAAAGAGAGAAAAGAGAGAGGAAGAGAAAGAAAAAGAGAGGAAGAGAAACAAAGAGAGCAAGAGAGAAAAGAAAGATAAAGGGAAAGAGAGAGAAAGAAAGAAAGAAAGAGGGAGAGAAAAAAAAGAAAAAGAGAAAGGCAAAGGGAGGGAATATCTTTTCTCAGAACCCCAAACAAGTCACCGTGGTGGCTGTTTCATGACACAGTTTTTCTAGGGATACAGGTAGTCCTTGACTTATGACCACAATTGAGCCCCAGGTTTTTTTTTGTTGCTAAGCAAGACAGGTTTTCAGTGAATTTTGCCCATTTTTTTCATGACCTTCCTTGCCACAGCTGTTAAGTGAATCACAGCCGTTGTTAAGTGAGTCACATGGTTTGTTCAGTGAACCCGGCTTCCCCAGGGACTTTGGCTTGTCACAAAAGGGGAAGTTGCGACCGTCGTGAAGGTAAGCCAGTTGCCAAGTGCCTGAGTTTTGATCACGTGACCGGTGTGTGTGTGTGTGTGTGTGTTGCGAAAGACTGTGAAAAAAGGGTTATAAGTTACTTTTTCAGCAGCAACTTTGAACGGTCACTAAATGAACTATCGTAAATCGAGGACTACCTGGACTTATAATTATTTGCTTAGTGACCGTTTGAAGTTTCAGTGGCACTGGGTGGGGTGGGGCTGGGGGGGGCGGAAATATGAAAGCAACAAAGTCACAAAAACAGGTGAAGTCTCTTTTCATTCCTTCAACTGGGCCTCCAAGGTCCAATTATCATTGACTGGAGAGAAAAAAACTCCCCCGCAAACAGTTGTGAAAAGGAAGAAATGCCGGTCAAACTCCAAATACATATAAATGATAAATAGAAAAAAAAACCCACACACAAACCACACTGAAGCAATTAGTGAGACCAGGCAGGATCAGGGCTTGAAGACGTCCACAGATATCGAAATACACACACTGGGAAGGTAAGAACTCAGATAAGAACTGCCAGACTAGAATTATTTCACGCTTCGCTTCCAGCACTGGGCCCATGTGCAGTTTGTCCTTTTAAACAGTCCTCCCAGCTGCAGCCCATGAAGGGGATCAGGGCCCTTTCCTCCCCCGTAGACCATGCCACTCACGTTTCTCCCTTATCCTCTCCTCCCTGCGTGCCCTAGGATGGGGAGGGGATGGGCCTGGGTCCTCCTCTGACTGCCCAGCCGGCCTCTGCCCTTCCCCAGCCTCTTCCACAACCTCCGGAGCCACACTCCCACTCCCTGTCAACTGTTCCTCCTCGCCCTCGGAGTCAGACTCCAACAGGGGCACGACATCAGGTGATCAAAATTCAGACACTGGTCAATTGATTGATTTGATTGATGATGGTTGCCAGGGTCATGTGACACCTTCAACCCTTTTCTGGAACCTTCTCAGGTGGCTTCAGACGAGCGAAGTCAATGGAGGTAGCCAGATTTGCTAGACAACTGTGTGATTCACTTAACACCTGCAGGGAGCCACTTAAACAACCATCGTTAGAAAAAGGTTGCAGAATGGGGAAAAATCTGACTTAAACAACTGCCTTGCTTAGCAACAGGCACTTTGGGTCGTTAAGTCGAGGACTGCCTGCGCTGCCTGGTAGTCAAATGACAGGCTGGCTGGGCAGTTTGAAACCGGCAATAAAGGAGAATATTTGCAGCTCAGGGTTGAAAATGAATGATTTATGTTTTTTGGGTGTGTGTGTGTGCGCGAGTGTGTCACAATCACCCCGACTGAAGGAGAGGGTTTGTGTGTGGGGCTTAACCAAGACCTTCCCCAGATTCTACCACCCCCTTTTCAGGATGCAAACCTGGATGGAGAAAGGACTCCGGGTGAGGAAAGAAAGGCCAATGGGACCAAACAGCCTTAGTACAGTGGCGGTATTCAGCCGGTTCGCACCGGATCGGGTGAACCGGTAGCGAGGATTTGGCGGGGGTCGCCCAACCGGTAGTAAGTTCTGGCTGGCCCGACCCAGTCGCCCTCCCGCTCACCCCGCCCGACGTTCGCCTAAGGTATTTCCCCCCCCCCCCCCCCGCTGTTCATACGGTCAGCTGTGCCGGGATTTCCCCCTTGCGTGGTCCAGGAAGGCAAAAAAACGGCTCCCCCCCCCCCCTCCATTTTTTTTGCCTTCCTCAGCTTCAGAGGAGCCTTAGGGGAGTAAAAACGCCCCCCCCAAGGCTCTTCTAAGGCCAGGAAGCCCCCCCAAAACAGGTGGGGGCTGCAAAAAAGCCACGTCCACCTAGTCACGTGGCCACGCTCACAGGACCCATAGTAAAAAAAAACTGAATCCCACCACTGCCTTAGTAGCTTCAAGGCAGGTGCTGGCTCAGCTTGTTGTTGTAACCACACACACACACACACACACACACACACACACACACACACGGCCTCGGCTCTCAGAGAAGGCCAGCAGCGGATCCTCTCAGGCAGGGGAAGGTGGAACAGGAGGCAGGCCGAACAAGGGGCTCTTTGATTCAAGCGGGAGACGGGGACTCCCTTGGGGCATCGAAGTCAGGCCGTGTGTGCGTGTGTGTGTGCGTGTGTGGCAAGTCCCTCTAGAGGAGGGAGAAGGGCAGTATCTGAATTAGGGGGATAGGAGACAGGGATGGATGGAGTGAAGAGAGAGAGAGAGAGAGATTGAGAGAGAGAGAGAGAGAGAGAGAGAGATGAAGACAGACTATATATATGCACACACACATTTACACACATACACACACCAAGAGAAGAGGTAGGTAGGTAGGTAGATACAGACAGACAGACAGACAGCATAGGTAGACAGGTAAGTAGGTAGGTAGATAGATAGATACAGATAGATAGATAGATAGATAGATAGATAGATAGATAGATAGATAGATAGATAGTGGCAGACAGACAGACAGCATAGGTAGACAGGTGGGTAGGTAGATAGATAGATATAGATAGATAGATACAGATAGATAGATACATAGATAGATAGATAGATACAGATAGATAGATAGATAGATAGATAGATACAGGCAGACAGACAGACAGCATAGGTAGATAGGTAGGTAGGTAGATAGATAGGTAGATAGATACAGACAGACAGACAGCATAGGTAGATAGATAGGTAGGTAGGTAGGAAATGTACTCTGACAAGATTGGTTTGTGATAGGTAGGTAGGTAGGTAGAGGGATAGGTAGAGGGATGATGGAGTGAATAGAGATATAGGTGAAGACAGACAGACTACACACACAGACACACACACACACAAGAAGACAGGCAGGCAGACAGATAGATATACTTGGATGGATGGATGGATGGATGGATGGATGGAGTGAGCAGAGACAGAGAGAGACAGATAAAGCAGGTAGAGACAGATGATGTCGATATCGAGAAAGAAACTGAGATACGGTGAATACAGGTACAGAGAGGAACCAGGTGAGGAAAGATCAAAGACAGACAGACAGACAGAGGAAAGAAAGAATCCGCTGCGGAGAGGGATTTGGAAGCGCCGTCCCGCAGGTGCCAGTGGGTGTCCCAGGGCTGGGAGAAAAAACGCCGGGCCGTTTCCACTTGCGGCAGGCCCTTCCGGCTGCTTCCCCTCCAGGCTGGGGAGGGGAGGGGACTATTTGCATGCGGCCTCTCCGCTGACAAGTGGGAGCCCAGCCCAAACTCCTACCCCCCCATCCCCCCCCAAGGAGGAACCCACCGGGCCCCCCCTCATTCTTTCCCTGCCCGCTGCTGCTATGGAAACAGGGGGAGGCCCCTCCGTGCCTCTTGGACTCGCTGGGAGGAAGCACTGGGGGGGGGGGGGGGGGGGGGGGGTGGGAGGGGAAGGGGCCCCCGGAAAGGGGGGGGGGGAAAGGCCGGTGCCAGCATCCGTGGATCAGTGCCAGCGTGTCCCGCCCGCAGCTGCAATGGGCCCAAGGAGGCAGAGAGCCCGGCCTTCCTGAGGGAAGCTGCCCGCAGCCGCCCTGGAACACGGAAGGGCTGACCCCCGCTTCGGTCAGCCAGTCCTTGCGGGCTGTGTGTGTGTGTGTGTGTGTGTGTGTGTGTGTGTGTGTGTGTTGTTGTTGTTTAAATAGAAGACTGACTCAGATTTACTCAGCCTTCCACCCTTCTGAGGTGGGATGAGGACCCAGATTGTTTGGGGGGGGGGGGGGAGGCTGACTCTAAACTGCTTAGACGGCTGCAAAGCTCTGTGAAGCGGTATATAAGTCGAGAGCTATAGCTATCCTTCCTCCCTTCTCTCCCCCCTTTCCCCTTCCTTCCTTCCTTCCCTCCCTTTCTCCCTTTTCTCCTTCCTTCCTTCTTTCTCTCTCTCTCCCCCTCCCTCCCTCCCTCCCTGCCATGGTGGCGGATTGGTTAGAAGGCAGTATTGCAGACTAATTCTACCCACTTCCAGCAGTTTTTGATCTTTCCTTCCTTCTCTTCCTCCCTTTCCCCCTTCATTTCCTTCCTTCTTTCCCTCCTGTTTCTCCTTCCTTCCCTTCCCTTTCTCCCTCTCTTTCCCGTTCCTTCTTTCCCTCCCTCCCCTTCTTTCCCTCTTTTTCCCCTTCCTTCCTCTCCCTCCCTCCCTTCCTGTTTCTCCTTCCTTCCCTTCCTTTTCTCCCTCTTTCCCGTTCCTTCTTTCCCTCCCTCCCCTTCTTCCTCTCTTTTTCCCCTTCCTTCCTCTCCCTCCCTTCTTCCTCTTCCATCCCTTCCTTCCTTCCTTCCTGTTTCTCCTTCCTTCCCTTCCTTTTCTCCCTCTCTTTCCCCTTCCTTCTTTCCCTCCCTTCCTCTTTCCCCCATCCTTCTTTCCTGTCCTGTCCTTCCTTCCTTCCTCCCCCCCCTTTCTTCTTTCTCTCCCCCTTTTCTCCTTCCTTCCTTCCTTCCCCTCTTTCTCTCTCCCTCCCTTCCTGCCACGGTGGCGTAGTGGTTAGAAGGCAGTATTGCAGGCAGTTCGATCCTGACCGGCTCAAGGTTGACTCAGCCTTCCGCCCTTCCGAGGTTGCTAAAACGAGGAGTCCAGATTGCTGGGGTCTGTAAACCGCTGAGGGAGGCCTGTGAAGCGCTAGGAAATGGTATATAAATCTAAGCGCTATTGCTAGATTTTCTTAAGATATTATAATGCCCCCCCCCCCCCCCCCCCCTTTAAGATTGAGGGGAAGAAAAAAAGAAACAGAAAGAAAAAGAAAAAGTTGTGGTCCTTTCAGAGGGGACTTTTTTTTTGTCTACTGCCCAAGGACCAGCTGTGCTTTTCCCAGGGTTATTTCCTTCCAGCTGTGGGGAGCCATTCTTTGTCTTCGAGAGAGAAGGAAAGGAAGGCTCTGTGTGTGTCTGTGTGTGTGTGTGTGTGGGTGGGTGTGTCCGGACACCCCAAACCTCTTTTACCTTCCGGCGCACGGTGCAGCGGTGGCACATCCATTCCCCGGGAGGCAGCATCTCCTCGCTCAGTGGAGGGTTGCTGTGGGAGGAAGCAAAGAAGCGCAAGTGAGTTGTGTGCCCGTCCTGGAACCTTTGCAAAGGAAGAGAATCGACACCTGCCGGGGGACAAGCAGGGGCGGGATTCAATTTTTTTAACAACCGGTTTCTGTGGGCGTGGCTTAGTTGGTGGGCATGGCTTGGTGGTCGTGTGACTGGCTGGGCGGGGCCAAGTCAACGTCACTCACATCGAGACACGCATCTCCTCGCCTGGCCTCTTGTGACTGTGGGGATGCTGCAACAGTCGTAAGTGTGAAAAAGGGTCATAAGTCACTTTTTTCAGTGCCATTTTCCCTCTGAATGGTCCCTCCACACAAGCAAAGGACCAGCAAAGGAGGGAAAAAAACTCCAGAGAAGTTCCTGAGACAGGAAGTCTAGTCCTGCCAAGAATGTAATAAGGGTCAACGGAGAGGCAGTTTCTGTAAGCAACCCCAGAATGTTTCCTTCCTGCCTTCCTTACGGGATTAGCCCAGGAACTTCTTCTAACAACCGGTTCTCCGAACTGCTTAGAAGGTTAACAACCAGTTCTAGCGAATAGGCGCGAACCGGTAGAATCCCACCCCTGGATGCAGGCCCTTCCACCTGACTGCTTCTGGCTCCTGCTCGGATCCTCGGGCTTTGGGCACTTTGATATTTCCCTCCTTCGCCCAGGAGAGAGGAATTCCCCCCCATGTTTTTTTTTTTAAATTATTCATTGGTATCCAGCTTTTATTATTATTTTGTTTTTACAAATAACTCATGGCGGCGGACATATCCAACATACCTCTCCTCTTTTCTCCAGCCTATGAGATGGGCTGGGCTGAGACAGAGGGGATTGGCCCAAAATCACCCAGCTGGCTTTCCTGCCTAAAACAGAACTAGAATTCACTGGCTCCTCATGGTTGACCCAACGTCACCCAGCCGGCTTTCATGCCTAAAGCAGGACTGGAACTCCCCGTATCCTGGTGATTGGCTCAAAGTCACCCAGCCAGCTTCCATACCTAAAACAGAACTAGAATTCACTGGCTCCTCGTGGTTGACCCAACGTCACCCAGCCGCATTTCAAGTCTAAAGCAGGACTAGAATTCTCCGTCTCCTGATGATTGGCCCAAAGTCACCCAGCCCTCTTTTGTACCTAAGGCGGGACTTGAACTCACGGTCTCAGGTTTTCTAGTCCAATGCCTCAACCATTAAACCAAAGTGTTCCTCTATCAGAAACTTCCAAGGGCCTGGATACTTTTCTCTGTACAGCCCATGGATGCTGCTACCTGGTTTGCTCCTTTCCCAGAGTCCCCTCCCAAGCATGCGTGTGGTCACAAGTGCATCCTGGGACGGGTCACCTTAAACCTCTTGTTAATGACCAAAGGCATCTCACTGGGGTGGGCTTCGAAAATTTCAGCAATAGGTTATCTGCCTGGATGCTGGAAGGGCGTGGCCATGGTGGGCGTGGCTTAATTGGCCTCCTGCACCACGGCTGGGCTGGGGCGGGGCGTTTTTGCCCTTCCCGGGCTCCGAAGGCTTTCCTTGAGCCTCTGGGAGGGTGAAAACAGCCTCCCCCAGACTCCGGAGGCCAGAAATAGGCCCATTTCCAGACTTCCAGGAGGCCTGTGTTTCACCTTCCCCAGACTCCGGAGGCTTTGCTCAAATCTCTGGGACATAGAAAAACAGTCTCTCCCGGGCTCTGGAGGCCGGAAATGGGCCTGTTTCGAGACTTTTGGAAGACCCGTCGTTCCCCCTCCCCAAGCCTCCACGCGGGTCCTGCATCCAAAACAGGCTGCGTGGAGACTCCTGGGAGAGGAGGGGCAGGCAGGTGGGGCCAGCCAAGGAGGCCGAAAACGGGAAAAAAACAGAGTGAAAAGGGGCCCGAAAACAGCCAGCAGAGTGTTGCAGGAGGCCATGGAGGGTGAAAAGGAGGTGCAGGGGGGGCACACAGACTCCCCGTGCCCCATTTTGGCTGATAGAGTGCTACAGGAGGCATCTGTGGTCCCCCACCCCGGCCAACAGGGGAGAACTACAATGCTGATCCGGCCCTTCAAAGAAATCCAGTTTGATACCCCTGCCTTAGACCAAGTAGGTAATCCTCGGCTTACAACCGTGATGTGGTCTGTGTCAGCTTTGGAAGCCATATTGAGATCAGATGCTACCACCACTGAGCCTGAGGAAGTGGGGTGGAGGAATTCATTTGAGTATATCTAGTTAGACAAAATAAAATTCTTTTTCTGATTCAAGGTCACCCAGTGTGGCGCATCATGAAATGGGAATCTTGCTTTAGGACGGATTGCGATTGGACCACGTGATGTGATGATGGCTAAGCGGGGGGATGGATTTGTAGTTTTGACTTTTGCAAAGAACCCCCCTAAACTTTCAGATTCAGGATTCCACAGAGGTGCCAAGTTACTGTGATGACCCAAAGGGGCGTGGCACAAAAATAACAAAGTCACCAAAGTAGAATAAATTCCCTTTAATGCCTCCAACTTGGGCCCCAATGTCCAATTATCCTCGGCTGGAGATCAAACTCTTCCAGAAACAGTCTACGAAGGGAGTAAATACAATCCGAATCCAAAGTAAAGTTAATTAGAAATAAAAAAAAAAACCAAGACAAACCACACTGAAGTAATTAACATGGCAGGGCCAGGATGATAAATTGCAGACTTTCACAAAATAACGCAGCATCTACAGTTAGGAGGATGCCAAAACCCAGACAAAGATAATGCACGCTTTGCTTCCAGCAAGGAGCTGTTTGCAAACGCCCCACTTATATCCTGTTCTCCCAGCTGCAACTAATGAAAGGGATCAGGGCCTTTTTCTCTCCCGTAAGCCATGTTGCTCCCTTTCTTTTTTTCCTCCCTGCGTGCCCTAGGATGAAGAGGGGGTGTCCCTGGGTCTTCCTCTGAATGCTCAGCCGGACGGTGCCCTTCCCCAGTTTCTTCCACAGCCCCCGGAGACACACTCCCACTCCCTGTCAGCTGCTCGACCTCCCCCTCGGAATCGGACTCCAATAAAGGCATGACAAGGGGTGTGACTTGGTGGTTCGCCGAACCAGCCATAATGTTAGCAATGGGTCCACCCAAACCGGACAAACCCGTAGCGATTTATCCCTGTGCAGCTAACACCATTGGTTTCATTCCAAAGTTAACACTGCAGCATCTTCCGACTGGATTTGCTCAACCCTGAGCTGTCCAGAACAAGCCTTGCAGAGTATGGAGACAGCAGAGGTCCCTAACTGGGAAAAAGCGACCTAGGACCATTTTTCACACTTATGACCCCCGCAGCACGCGTTACGTGATTTATACTTGGATGCTTGACAGCCAACTCACGTTTATGACAGTTGCGGTGTCCTGGGGTCACGTGATCTCCCCCCTTTGTGACCTTCTGACAAGCGAAGTCAAAGGGGAATGCCGGATTCGCGTCACAACCGCACGACTAATTTAACAACTGCACTGATTCGGTTAACAAATGCGGCAAGAAAAGTTGTAAAGTGGGGCAAAACTCACTTAACAAATGTCTCAATGAGCAACATAAATTTTGGGCTCAATTTTGGTCGCAAGTCACCATTTTGCAAAAGAGATGTTTGGAAAAAGAGCAAAGAAGAGCAACTAAGAGGATCAAAGGCCCGGAGACTTAAAACACAGGAAGAACAGCTGCAGGATTTGGGTTTGGCCGGACTAGAGAAAAGAAGGACCGGGGGGGGGGGGGCGATATGATAGCAGCCTTCCAGGATTTGAGGGGCTGCCCACGAAGAGGAAGAGGGGGTCAAATTATTCTCCAAAGCGCTCAGGAAGCAAGACAAGAAATCATGGAGGGAAACTCATCACGGAGAGGAGCAACCTGGAAGGAAGGAGAAACTTCCAAACAATGAGCCAGTGGAACTGCTTGCCACCAGAAGTTGGGGGTGCTCCCAACCCTGGAGGCTTTTCAGAAGAGACTGGACAGCCATTTGGCTGAAATGGGATAGGGTCTCCCGTTTGAGTTGGGGGTTGGGCTAGATGACCTCAAGGTCCCTTCCGGCTCTCTTCTGATTGACTTTCTATCCTCAGGACTTCAGATGTTGTCGTCTCCTAGACCTGGGCGGAAGCCCACCTATCTACCAACTTCGTCTTCACTGTTGCCAGTCCCCAAGAACCAGCTTAGGATGCGGCTGGAAGCGACAACCGCGCCCCCCCTCCCCCCCGGCTTGCCTGCCAGACCCCAAAGCTGCTGCTGCTGCTGCTCCTCCTGTTTAGAATCGGCCACATTAACAATGCAGGAGAGGCAGAGAAGCCAGCAGCCATTTTGAGAGCAGAGCTGGGGAATCAGGGAAGCGAGTATGGCCGCCGCCAGCCTCGAGAGCATTGTGAGAAACCCACATAGCGACGGCCCCGAAGAAGACACAGCTGGAAAGCTGGGGGGGGGGATGGGGAACAGAGGTGCCCCCTGCTTGGCATCCTGATTTCCCCCATGTCAAATTTCAGGGGTAATTTAAACAGCTCACCCCAAATCCACAGCATGGCAAAGAAGGGTGAGCTGATATCTATCTACCTATCTACCATCTTTCTCTTTCATCTATATCTATCATCCATATATTTATCAATCAACTTTCTCTTTAATCTCTCTCTCTCTCTCAGGCTATCTATCTATCTATCTATCTATCTATCTATCTATCTATCTATCTATCTATGTCTATCTATCAATCTATCTATTTGTCTATCTCTCTCTCTCTCTCTCTATCAGGCTATCTATCTATCATCTATCTATATCTATCTATCTATCTATCTATCTATCTATCTATCTATCTATCTATCTATCTATCTATCTTTCTATCTATCTCTCTCTCTCTCTCTCTATCTATCTATCTAATACCCATCCATCCATCTCTGTATCATCTATATCTATATATCATCTCTCTCTGCCTACCTACCTATCCATCCATCCATCTCTGTATCTGTATCATCTATATATCTATATATATCATCCATCTCTCTCTCTCTCTCTCCCTCCCTCTCTCTCTCTCTCTCTCTTTATATT